AAATAATTATAAAATTGCTTATGCAAACCATTCCAAAAGCGGTCCTTCAATTTTCTAAAACTTGGCCTTCGAAGTAATTGAAAAGTCCCTGTATTTCAACCTTTGGCATTTGTAGGAACCTACTCCTATATGGTAATATATTATTTTGATTGTTTTCCAGTACCATAACAACATTCATTATACTCAGCAGACAAAAATAAACACAAGTAGAATTATTCATGACTAGCAATAACGAAATTGCGTGACAACAGTGACAATCGCAATATGGCAGCCCCCTAAAGATAACTCCAGATGTGCGATATTGAAAGCCCGAGTTCACGCAGCCATGCGTTTTGTTTCCTGTTTAAAAATGCTGATGACATTGCATCCAGTCATACTTGCCATGTATGCTGTAATTCAAGAAAACATGTGCAATATCATGGCAGAATTTCTTGAATATTGTTATATAAGACATAAAAATTACTATTTGCACAATCCCAATGTAATTTAGCCTCTGATATCCCAACCTAATGAAATGAAACTGTAATTTGATTGCATTTAATTTAAAAGATGAATTATACACAGTTTGACATTTTTAAAAATTATTTTTAAGGGACCTTTGTTCGTGGCTTGGAGACAACAGCAACATATGATAAGACAACACAAGAGTTTGTTATTCATTCACCATCACTGTCAGCATGTAAATGGTGGCCAGGAAATAGTATGTTTATCTTAAAATTTATAAGTGCTCTGTAAGATTGAAATAGAAAGCACTTCCCATGTTTTTGTCAAGTAATATAAACACAAGGGGAAATTTTTGAGAAAAATAAAATTAATGCCATGGGAACAAGCAATTGAAAGCATTCACCAAAGTTTGTAGAACTCTGTAAGTTGTTTTTTTTCCCTGTGTTTTGCAATAAAAGAAAAATAATAAAAAAAATAAAAAAATAAATAAAAATAAAAATAAAAAGTTTGTAGAACTCGATTAGGGACATAAGAAAAATAAGTTCTGTTTCTTTAACAAACCACTGCTAAGAAAATTTAAGCAAGATTACAGGATCATTTACCCCACTTTGTTCACACATCATTTTATCAAAAGATCAAGCTTGATGGGTTTTCCTGACAGAGTTTTAGAAAAAAAAAGCTTTTCATGGGAACTTTCTTACAGAATTTAATTTGGTAAACTGCGAAATGCAATTGGATTTGACCTCCCAGTCTGGGAAAAGAACTATGTTGTGATGGCTACAATAGCTAGTGTTGCTTGAAAACTT